AAATTACGGCACTAATGTTCCAAATAAAACAATGGAACAAAGCCAACTTCATGTCTACACGATAATGTGTGAGAACTATGCAAATCCGTTGCCAACTTTAAATTTTACTTCCTTGCAGAGGCTCGCCATCGTGGCGACACGGAGGGCACTAGCGGTTTGTGTTGCGGTGAGGGGACAAACAACAACGGTAAAATGTTATCAAGTTGGGTTTTGCTCTCCTAAAAGCGGTGGACACCGAGATATTGTTCATTACATCAAAGTAAGCTCTTTAGAGAGCTACAATTTTCTTCACTGATATCATTAGTTTAAGTTAAATTTCTTCAAGCATTGTTTAAAAGGTGACCAGATGGTTGAATATAACTAAGAGAGGGGAGAGTGTGGATTAGTGGCTATCGCTTCTTCTACTTCGTATTCTTTCTCACATCAGGGACTTCAAGGTTTACATTCGGCTCATAGTCCTCTAGATATGGTAAAATTTGGAGCATAAAATTGATAACATTTAATTATTTTAATTCATAAATGCATCCACGGTCCCGAAGATCGATTAAAACAGTAAAAGTAATGCCGCAGTGCCTCGGTAACTTGCAGTGCCTCAGTCACACAGTGAGGTGAGGAATTAATTAACTGGGAGCGCAGAGGACACAGGTTGAAATTTTTGTCTGCAGCCCGTAAAATCGGAGGCCATGGCGCCAGGCCTGCCCAGTGGAGGGAGAAGAGAGAGAAGGGGAGAAGACGGGGAAGGGGGCGGTGTGATGAACCGGTCGTTCATCCTGCTCTCCACCTCTTCCTCCTCCTCCTCCTCCTCCTCCTCCTCTTCCTCGTCCTCCTCTATCAATGGACGAACTCGTTAAGACCCCACCATCACCACCGCCATCAGCTTGAAGTGAGCTAGCTTACTCCCTCCTCTTCACCTCTCCCCTACCCAACGCCTTTCAAATCACATTTCATGAGCGCTCGCGCTGGCACACGTACACGCACAGAAGCTGGCTTTTTAATTACAATTTTAAAGCCTAACGCCAACACTCGAGGGAAAGGGTAGAGAAAAGGAGGCATTAGAAAAGAACTCCAAAATGAGTTAAAATTTGACAGTTTGAGCAGCCTTTTCGTTTTTTCGTGTTCAATAATTGCAGCCAGACAGTCTACTACATCCAACAACATGCTCCTCCCCCTTCCTCCTCCTTGCGGTCAGGGAGCGAGAGGGAGGAAATGTGGGGCGGTGACAGAGTTATTGCGGCGGAAGTGAAGGGGATGGTCTCCTCTTCCTCCTCGACCTTTGAAGTATTTCTACAAGCCTTTTGCATAGCTTGCAGGTGTAGCACAGCATTTTTGTACCCCTCAATAATTTCCCTTCCTCCATAGTAAAAAAAGTGACTACTAGAAGAGTAGTCCACCGCTTTGGATAGATTTTTGCATTTTTACCCCTCCTTCTTTGCAATAACAGCAATATTATGATGGTTGATACCATCTTCAGTCGCATATGACAGTTGTTTGATGGGCATGTGATTTGGTGAGAATGTTTAATTGACAACCAGCATTCATGTGATCAGCCATCAAATCGCCATTCCATAGTAGATTTTATGGATAAGAGGAAAAATTGTTTCTCATTAATATTGCCCTTACCAGTCAAGGTAATACCAGTGCAGCGAGACTAAGCAGACGTCTAAATAATGCCAAAGTTGAATGTAGCTAAGACGAATGCTCTCAAAGGTCGTGACGTTCTTTGTTCTCCAATTCATTATCCAAACTGGTGGGTGACCCTTGACAAGATCATACAAGATTTGAAGCTACCCTTCCACCACTTCCCTCTAATGTGACACGCTCCGGCACTCTGGAAGCATTAAATGAAACCCAGATTCTGTGGACTTAAGAATGTTACCTTGACGTCTCTCTAACTTACATTCGTAGAGGAATAAACCTCGTGACGGACTAAAAGCGCTGTCGGTCTCCATACCAAAAATGATGTTTGTGATACGCTAGAAGGTTTTTTGCCTCCTTTCTCCCATTATGCGCACACTTGGTTCCTACAATCTCTGTGCCACATAATCTATTGGAATTTGAAACTATTTTATAACTCCTCACTGGAATGAACCTATGTATGATGCAGTTGGACTTATTCTTTACGCCGAAAAACGTTGGCTTCCATGATAGGAAGTCATATAAAATCACTTTTATATTGCACTTTAACTCCCCACTTGGGATCATTTTAATGCTTTTAGCAATTCATGAAAGGCACTTGTGAAGAGGGGATAAAAATTGGCTGAATATCTATCGAGGTGACACAGAAACTGCTTGTGCTTAGTGCGTAGTTCATTGGTTCGTTGAAGCCGTATCCTCTCAGACGACTCGACGTCAACCTCCTGCATTAAGCACCATAACATAGGCAGTGTTATAGGGGAACCACTCACTCAGTTTGAGCGCACCTCCGAAGACACCTGAACGCAATGCCACGGAATCCTCTGACGGAATCCACGAGATCCGGCGTTGTTAGCTGGAGAGAGAAGGAGGCACTTGCCACGAACGCATGCATGAACATCACCTCAAGAGAGGAGACATTTGGTGGTGGACAAAATAATGAAATAGATATGGAGGAATGAGTCCTCACTCATTCCTATGTGATACTTTGTTTTGCTGAATATAAGCGTCTTTTGGGATCTTTACAGATTCTCTACATCCTGAGCGGGTTTTACTGTTCTTCATCTGGAGATTTGAAATTTAATTTTACAGACCAGGACAAAGGACCTTCAAAATCGGAATTGCTTTTTCGCATCTCAAAAGCTCCTGCAGTTCAAAAGGGTTGATGGATTATTAGCGTGGTTTAGGCGTTGTGCCTCCTAGAGAATGTTCAAACGCAGTGTCCTCAGTGTTGGCATTAGCAAAGCAAAAAAATTAGACAAAAATCTTAAAGTTGGCTAAACAACATACCCATTATTATCGTTCCATGACTTCTTTACTGACAAGGGCAGGCATGACACTACAGTATTCTATTCATAGTTCGCAAAAAGGAAGTGAGTCGGGACTAGTTGCAAGGCCAGGAGATTAGCACATCCGGTAGAGACAATTTGACTACTTAATTGGTTGCAACCGATACCGGCAGAACACAGTATTGCATGACGCAGCTCTCCTTTCAGTCGACGTCCCTCGCAGGCCATCACAACGCAGTCGGTGCTGCTCGGAGACACTCAAAAGCCAGCTGCTAAGGCTCCACTTGCCCTCATAAGAGAAATCATAGATTTTACATTTTGTGGAATACCTTTTATGTCCAGGGCCAAGTATTGAGACATACTTATAACAGAGAACACGGGATTTACACAATACCGTTTAGGTGAGGGTAAGGACAATGCCACTTGACCGACACTCACATAAACTTTACTTAATGGTTCACATTCGGTGTCACTTCCATTGTTGACAGCCTGCCAATAAAACACAGTAAAGAGGTAGATTTTGAAGACTACCTTAATTTTTAGCCCTCCTCCCAAGTCAAAACCACTTTACACTGCAGGAAATATGGCTTACAAAACTTCCCTGTTGAGCAGATTCCATGCTTTTTTTAGAACATAAAAAAAGGAAACTGGACTTTCAGATTGGGCAGAAGGTCAATTCACTTGCCTACGACAATATGGCTATTTAAGTGACCACGATCAATCTTGGCATTTCATACAAGAGAACCATGACACCCTTATTGTCAAAAAGTGTGCTCCCACTTAACTCTATAAAACGGTCCTATCACTTCATCCAAGCCCACCCAAACTGCCACTGGCTCACACGTGGCAGTACTTAGCACAGGATTTGAGTGCTGTAGATGGAAAATCGTACTACATATTGGATTACATTTAATGCAGTCTGATGCCTATCTAAATTGCAAACATCATTGCCAGTTGCGAAGTTCCTCTCTTACCACTCATGTATTTGCGTAATGGAGAAGGGGAAATGTGCGTAAAACCCATCTCAGCTTATTCAAATTAACCCATTTCAACCGCTAACATTTGGCCAAAAAAGGCATGTGGATTTTTAATAAAAAAAGATTTAGTGATTAATAAAGGTTGGTGGAGGCTATGGGATTCACTCTCGACCCTCATTGTAATGCATTGAGAGTAGCGAAAGGAATGTCAGTGTTTGCATTTGTGTTGCAAAGTTAAGGATTGATGCTTGTCCGTCTACCGAATTTTGTATTTTGCCTTAAACTACCTAATGTCTCTCCGTTCATTTTTGGTCTGTATGTAATGTAATGTAATCCTGCACACCCAAGGGAGAGCCACTAAGATGGAATGCTGGACAAGAAGAGTTTACTTCGATTCAAAATCTTAAAATGGAATCACGAGGAGGAACAGAGTACTACAGCCGAACGAGGTCTCGTTGATAAATCACTCAAGGAGAGGGGCGTCAATCTGTAGACGACTCCATCATTTGGCATAGGAATGCAAAAATCGCCGGAGAGCGTAAATACGTAGAGGTGGGCATGTGAAAAATCACTTCCAATGGGGGCTGTAATAAATGGTAATAAAAGTCTGCGGCACACACATCTTCCGCTCCCCAATCCTCGGCAGACACGCCTTCACGTGATAGTTAACTTCTCTTGGCCTTCGGCGATTAGACCCCAAACGCCTACGAGGCAGACCAGACAGTTGGGAAATAAAAATTAGACAAGGTATATTTTATCAAAATTGGAATTTACAACCAAATCATGCCTTCGCTCGAACGGGACTTAAAGCCAGCATTTTCTGCTTTTTTAAAATTTCTTTAAAAAAAGATTGTACAAACGAACTTTAGTGTCATTAGAAGGGCACATTAGGATTTCAAAGATATCAGTGGATAATCGAAGTTTGATAAGCAATTTTGTGGTGGATATCAGACACACCTCAACCAATTCTGGAGCCTTAACCCATTTCAGCTTACATGACTTTATTTGCCTTCTTCATGGATGACCCCCGTAATGTCCATCTCCCATGAAGCAGTGCCTTGAAGTAAATATTTTATCAGTTGAATTCCCCAGTGATCACATCACCGTCTCATGACATTGAATTAAGTGTGAATAATTTATTCCATCTCCGGTTATCGAAAGTATACTGACTCCATCTTTAGAATAACAAAATTGTCTATAAAATTCGACTTTGTAAGCAAAAAACTTCTGAACGTGGCCAAAAAAGTTTACCAGACGTCAATTTAACCAAGAAACTAAGCTGATTATTACTCTTATCTAATGTAATTTGCGCTATCTGAATGATACTACTTATTTAAAGCAAGTATTTTACGCTCATAAAATTCCACCTTTTCCTAGTTTAATAATTTCACCCCAAAAAAAGATAGTCTCTTAGATACAAATAATGGTGTGTGTCTGGTCACGAGAGGGCTGTAAAAGTTAACTTAACAGGCTAAAATATGGGACTCAATGGAGGCTTAAAGTACACAGCAGTGGAGTAGATTTGGCAGATTTTATAGTCAATTTAAATCTTCCAAATCCCACACACGAAATCACTGTCCTTGAGCAAACCTTATCACACTTTTACACATACTTTTCATCTAAACTAAGCACTTACATTTAACAAGATCGTGCTAACTGTCCTACATAATAATTGATAAAAAAGATATTTGAATTATGAGACACAAATGCCACTAAACATTAAACAGTCGCGACAAAATTAAAAAAAGGAAAATCTCTTTACAAAACCAAGATAAATAAATTGGTGTAAGTGTTGGCGGTTGTGCTTTGTGTGGTTGTTGTCAAGCCATTCACTCTGGAGTATGCTTTTCAAAACGCCAAAGCCAGTCTCGGAACAAAAAATTCCTCTCAAAGTCTACCTAACGAGAGCATCACCATCACATGCACTTTGGAGAAAGTAAAAGTGGCAAAGGAAGTTTAGTTTGGTCCAACAAGATTACCGATTGTCCAGTCCACTCACTCTACGACATCCACCTTTTTCCCAACGGTTGTGGCTTTACGACAAGGTTTCACAAAGTCCTGACGATGTACTTCACTGATTGATGTGTGCGCAATTTACACATTGCAAGTTGATAACGCACACATAAATCAACATCAAAACAATGGATTTTTCAAATTCAAACCCACTATATTTTTTTGAGAAAATAGTTGAAAACCTTACTAACAATCGAAGTATTTAATGTACAAATTTAAGTTGACACTAAAGTGTATTTTTAGCTTCGCACATTTTACTGCTCGCTGTTTTGGTGCCTCTTCTCCCTTCTCCCCATCCGAATACACACAAACACGCATGTGTTCAAGTGGGAATCCGCATGTTTCTTTCATTTTAGAGCGTGACTTCGCCTGATACTACTATCTAGGTAT